ACGTATCCATCCACGTATCCATCCATCCATCCATCCATCCATCCATCCATCCATCCATCCATCATCTTCCACTTATTCCGAACTTGAGTTGCGGGGGCAGCATCTTGAGCAGGGAGGTCCAGACATCTCTCTCCACAGCCTCTTCCAGCACTTCTGGGAGGATTCCAAGGTGTTCCCAGGCAGACTTAGAGACCTAAGCCCCCAGTATACTCCCGCGTACGTCCATACGGGGAGGTATGAGCGTATCCCCCAGGGCATGTCCGTGCAAAGCTCAAATTTTATGACTGCGTACGTGTACGCGGTGTCGCACCTTACCAGCATCCTTACCAGATGCCCGAACGACCTCAACTGGCTCCTTTAGACGTGAAGGGCAGTGGTTCTACTCCAAGTCCCTCCTGGATAACTGAACTTTTCACCGTACCTCTAAGAGAGAGTCCAGCTACCCTGCAGAGGAAACTCATTTCAACCGCCTGCATCCACAATCTCATTCATTCAGTCTCTACCAGAGCTCATGACCATAGGTGAGGGGAGGAATGTAGACCAACCAGTAAACAGAGAGCTTTGTCTAACAGCTCAGCTCCCTCTTCACCACAACGGACCAGTACAGAGACCACAATACTGCAGATGTTGCACCAATCCGTCTGTCAATCTCATGCTCCATTCTTCCCTCACGCGTAAAAACCCCCAAGATACTTGAACTCCTCCACTTGAGGCAGAACCTCACCCTCAACCCAGAGAACAATCCACCCTTTTCTGAATGAGGACCATGGCCTCAGATTTGGATGGATGTGCTGATTCTCATCCCAGCCGCTTCACACACTGCTGCGAACTGCTCCAGTGAGAGCTAACGATCACGGCACGATGACGCCAACAAAACCACATCATTTGCAAAGAGCAGAGATGGAATCCTGAGGCCACCGAACCAGAAACCCTCCGCCCGCTGGCTGCACAGAGAAATTCTGTCCATAAAAGTTATAAACAGAAGCGAAGACAAAGGGCAGCCCTGGTGGAGTCAATCCTCTGCTGAAAGGGTTCAACTTACTACCGACAACGCAAAACAATTTGATCCATTGTTAGGCTGATGGTCCTTCTTGAGCATGTGATCAGCTGGTTTTGGTTGTCAGCAGCAAAACTGGTTGATCCACTCTGAGAAGGTGCTATTTAAGAGACTGAGCTGAATACAGCACCTCAGACTGAGGAAGTCTCTCGGATGAGAGACAAAACGTTTCTACATTTTTTTGTTGTCGTTTTGCTTAGTTTTGTTTTTTGAATGTCAAGAGGACCAGATTTAACTTTTTTGGATTTTTCCACCTGGATTATTGAGCAAAATCAGGATATTGTTTGACTATTGCAAAGAGTGTGTTAAGGGTTTAAAACGCCTTTACAGACACACACACACACACACACACACACACACACACACACACACAAA